TGAGATTTGTATCTTCATATCATACAACTAAGGACTAACATCTTTTTTTAATACTAATTCGCATCGAATGATGTGTTTTTATCAATTGGTTTAATATCTTTTTAAGCTTAGTAATTTTTTTTATAGGTAGCATTGACATAAACTAATGCAAAAGTACAATGTCGGTAAAAAACATTGACAAACTTCACTCAATAATGCTTTATTAAATTTTTCTTTAGATACTAATGTAATAAAAAAAATATACAAAAATCAATAGAAGTGAAAATCTTAAATAAATATTATGATCACATAAATTTTTTATAAAAAATATACATAAAGACTTAATGTTATTGTGGCACCAAAAVCTAGTTTCTTCTTTTAGTACATCTATTTTTTTTTTTTAATATATCATCTCAAATTATTGTACAAAACAAAAATTTATAATCTCCCTACTTATAAAAAAAATTGTTGGCGTAAAGTGAAAAAAAATATTGTCAATAAGACAGTGAACTCGTGCAATTGGGTCGTTGCGATTATGGGTTGGGTGTCTATGTTCTAGCAAGATTTTGCTCAAATTTTCCAATCCAAACAAAAATAAATCTTTAGCTACTTTTTAACCACAACTATCCACATACTCTACTTCTACATCGTTAGAAATATTCGTTACAACATTAACATGTTTATTAAAATCAACACATTAGTTTAAAAACTTAGTTAGAATACTGTTGTAATGACAATGAAATCACATCAACAAATTCCTAATATAATATTCAAAAACCTCTCACACACGTAAACTCTTATCCCCTTTCTCTCTATAATTATTTCGCTCTTTTGGTATCTTAACTTTCTCTTATGAATTAACCAAAAATATTTTTTTGTTGTATTTCTTTTTCACTTCGGTTCTTAAATAGTACGCATATAAATATCATACGCAATATAACACTCTAAACAATTTTTCATTCTTCCAAGCATGCTAAAGTACATTCAGTTCTAGATATTGATATAACCATCTTCTATATATTTATAAAAACCAAGAACAAATATGTCGATAAATTTTATATTTTTGTAATCGAAAACATATATGTGATAATTGTATGCAATTTCAACATTAATTTTTGAGACTAATCAATTCATACTATAAATCTCAAGTTATCATGTGATTATTAGTTTCTAAAAATATAATATCATATATTTTCCATGAATTAGTGATAATTTCTTTCAATATAATTGTATAGTAACAAATCTATTGATATTACTAATGATTGAATATTTTAGTATTTCAGCAATAAAAGTGTTCAGTTCTCTTGTTCTTATATACTCCCTCTGTTTCATAATATAGGATGTTTTGCCAAAAGTACAAACATTAAAAAAAAACTTTTTCTTTCAAAAAGTAGAATTTAATATATTAATTAAAATAATTCAACCAACTATAAAAAAGACTGCAAAAGATTATTGGTCACACAGTTTTCAATAAATCTAAAAAGTACCTTAAAATATCAAAAAATTTTATATTGTGAAACAAAAAAAAACTCCAAAACATCCTATATTATGAAACGGAGGGAGTACTTTTTAGACAACAAAATAAAAATTGTATACATGTACATATTAACAAATTTAGTGAGATTACTAATAAAACACCGCTTAATTTACCTCTTGTGACGACGAAACTACCATATTTATAATTTCATATGCTTGTTCATCTACCTACTGTTATATTTTGACATCACAACAATTTACAAATGCAATGAAACTTAAAACGAAACTCGATATTTAAAAAACCCACTAAAATGAAAATTCTTTAAAGTTATGAGTTTATGAAATAAGAAAATTATTTATGAATTTCCTATTAATAAAATAAATGAAAATGCTAATTTGATGTATAATATTGAATGTTTTAAATCCTATGTTCATATACATTAATTCACTTTATTTTTAATTAAAAAATAATAATAACAAAAGTTTCGGTAAATTGGTCAATGATTGATAATTTTTTTATGATTAAGATTTTAAAAGTAAAAAAATTTCCTAATCTATAGTATCTTAAATTGAAATAGGAAATCAAATCCACAAAAACGGAAATTACTTAAAGTTATGAGTTCATGAAATAAGGAAATCTCTATATTATTAAAAGAGAAGTCATTTAGAGTAAATGTCCAAAATCCTATCTAATATTACTYAAATTGCCATTGYTTTTAAARTAAAGAAATTCAATTGAAAAGGYTAATTTTGTACATATGTAGTGGCAATTTCAGTAATTTTGGGATCAATTTCGGACATTTTGAAAGGCATTTTCGTTTTTTTATGGCACATTAATAACATTTTCGTTATTTTAAGAAAATTTTGTAACTGCATACAAAAAAATGATAAA